GAGTTCGCAGCTGATATTTACTCATAGTGTCCAGAGAAAGAAATATATGTTGCAACCTAAGATTGAACTCACAGCCTCCTAGTTTTCAGATTGATTGGGATAATTACTATTAAGACCTGACAAAAGGACAACTGCAGGAACCAACATTCTGGTAGAAAGAAGTTCCCTGAGGATGGGGTGCAGTAGGAAAGTTTGAAAGCTCTGAAGCGTAAGCTTCTGGTCCTGGAGATCGACCCAATTTGGATCCTGCAGTTGTTCTCAGGTCTTAATAGTTTTATCCCAACCAATCTGAAAACTATCCAGAGATTTATTCTTCTGAGCTTTTGGACTCATGCTGGAGCTATTCACTAGAACCGGTTGTTAACATTCTAAGCAGTTTGGAGAACTGGTTGTTAGAAGAAATTACTGGCCTAATCCTGTAAGGAAGGCAGGAAGGAAACATTCTGGTGTTGCTTACAGAAACTGCCTCTCCGTTAACCCTTATTACATTCTTGGCAGGACTAGACTTCCTGTCCCTGGAACTTCTCTTGAGGTTTTTTTCCCCCACTTTTGCTGCTACTTTGATTGTGTGGAGTGACCATTCAAAGTTACAATGGCATTGAAACATTTTTGACCGTTATGACCATTATGACCATGTTTGACACTTACGACTGTTGCAGCATCCCCACAGTCATGAGAGGTCAGGCGAGGAGATGCGTGCCTCGATCTGAGTGATATTGAGTTGGCCACACCCAGCCAATAACATGACCTCCAAGCCACTCCCACCAACTAAGCCACGCCCACAGAACTGGTTGTTAAAAAATTTGAATCCCACCCCTGAGTGGATGTATTCCTGTGACCAGACTAACTTTCACTGTCATTGATTGACTAGTCTTTCAGTGGCTCAACAAAAGCAATTGATGAATAGAGGTTAGTCCTTTGTCTTCTCTGTAAAGACTCTGTAGAGATTAGAGAGAAAATGTAATCTTGTATGCAAAGGTATACATGAAAATACATATAACCATGTATTTTCATGGTAACAAGATGGGAGCCAGTTACTGTTGCTTTCTTCTGAATCACTTTTTGACTCATCAATCTATCTAGACTGTAGTCTAGGCTTCCCTGATGGTCTGTCTCTCACCTAAATAGTATCAGACTTGATCCTGCTTACTTTCTAAGACCAGACAAGAAATACTAAATTTTCCAACTTATATATTCATCTAAGATCCTTAACCTGGCCACTAAATTAAAGGATTTTGAGGATTTTGAGCCACTAAACAGTGGCTCGGATTCCATCATTTCAGCCACAACAAACTTATCTAGCATTAATATTAACCAAACTTAATATGCTGCATGAGTGCATCTGCTGTAGCTTTCTCTGATATGATTAAATATATTCTGTGAATACATTTTCTGAGTGTATATATTTATGAATTTGCACAGGTAGAGGTGGAAAATCAAGTCCTATAAACCCTGGCAAGCATAACTAAACCATTTAATTTTTATTTGGAGTAATGAAGTATTAACAGGGTTTGATAAAGATACAAGATTCTTGTTCATATTTTCCTCAACCATAAAAATCACTCTGGGGGCCAGGCCCACTCAAAATCCCACAGCCTAATCTGGGAAGATTAAACCAGTTAATAGGAAAAGAGGATTATATCCCCTACCTGATATGATATCAATATAGTAATAAAAACAATAACATTGCATGAAATCACAGGGGGAACACTGTTTATTTCCAACCTATCAAAACTGTAGATAATGCATGATTACACAGATAGCTATGGATATTGCCTCAGGCAGAATGACTGGTAGGCATAGAATAACAGAATAAAAGGTGGAAATGGACCTTGGAGGTCTTCTAGTCCACCACCACCCCTGCTCAGGCAGGAAATTTTGTACCATTTCAGACCGATGGCTCTCCAATCTCTTCTTAAAAACCTCCAGTTTTGGAGCACACACAGCTTGTGGAGACAAATCGTTCCACTGATTAACAGTTCTAACTGTCAGGAAATTTTTCCTTCGTTCTAGATTGCTTCTCTCCTTGGTTAGTTTCCATCCATTGCTTCTTGTCCTGCTGTCAGGTACTTTGGATTTCTACTCTTTGGTTATGCTCTTTTTTAAATAATAAACTGTCAGGATAAAACAGTCTACTCTATAGCAATATTTGCTAGGCTGGTGCTAATTGGTGGCCTAGACTGTATTTTCCACAGGGAGATATTATGAGATAAATGAAGCTCTCTTTCTCTTTCTTTCTTTCTTTCTTTCTTTCTTTCTTTCTTTCTTTCTTTCT